AGCTTGTCGTGGTTGTATGTATTTTTTAGAACGAGGGATAAACTTGTTACAGGTCACCGTATATAATTCTAAAAAATTGTCATAACACTGATTGATATTTCTATCCCCAAATACTGCTTTCCAATTAATTGAATTAAAATATTTTATCATTTTAACAAAATCACTTTTTTTATATATATAACTTGAAATAAATTTTTTATTGATATTATTAGCACTTATCAAGTAATTCCAAGTCAATGTCATATGTGCATGGACAATTTTACCTAAAGGAGGATTTGATGTGAGTTCAGAAACAAGATTTGAATTTACTGTAAATATAAGATAAAGAATGTTAATCAAATCTTTATCCGTTATTTGAAATGTTGGAAAAAATACAATTTGTGACAAAAAGCAGTCATTTATAGTCTCTGTGAAGTGAAATTCTGAACTATTTAGATCTGAACATGTACCAATGAAGATTTTTAATAAAGAAAATAATTAAAGTCTCCGCTCAACAAAAAACCTGTAAAAGCACTATTATCGTAAACATGTTAAGCCGCTAGAATAGATTTACACAGGTTTGAATTGTTAGCTGAGTTAGGAGGTCTGTAGACGCAACCAACAAATAATATTTTTTCAAATTTATATTCAAGTCCACACCATATTTGTTCTATATCTGGATAACATAGTTCAATAAGTTAGTTCAATAAGAGTTAATTTCAAAAGATCTTTTCGTGTATAGATACAAACTCCACCACCTCGTCCGTTAATTCTGTTCTTTCTAAAAATATTATAACCATCCAGGTTTGACACTGATTCGGCATTAAACCACATTTCCGTCACCATTATTACATCTATTTTATTTAACTGTGCTAATACTCAAAGTTCATTAAGTTTATTATTTAATGAGGTTGCGTTTGTATAAAATATTTTTAGGTTTTTCTTATTGCTTTTGTTAATCTTGACAAAATGTTGCCCCCGAATCCCATAAACAAAGGTATCCGTATTTTGCAGAGATTTTTCCTTTTTTTTTTCCTGTCTTAAAGCATAATCAAAGGCATATGCTAATGTTTTATTTAATTTAATGTTTGGTTAAAGAATTTTTCTTCAAATTTTCATGTGAGTGTAACTCCTTTGCTGCCGCAAGTATAGTATTTTTTTGTGCTTTGTCCTTAAAGCGTACTAAAATTGGAGCATGTTTCTGACTAACAATTTTTTTTTAAATCTTCTCACAAAGACCGGTGAACATGGTTTTCCGATTGTGTTAAATATCTCTTCCACAACATTAAAATCATTAGCATGTTTTTCCAAATCAGTTGTTGCAACAGATTCTGTTGCACCAAATGTTATTATATTAGCCTCCTTATTTTTTCGTTCATTTTGTTCTATAATTGATGCGTTTAGGTTGATTAGTTTTGTTTCACTTTTTTTTTCACAAACAACAGCGTCTGTCCTCGAAGGAGCAGATGCTGTTTTTGCCTCCAATGCCTCAATACTTTTTAATAACTTTTATATTATATCTTGTTGTGCACGCACTATTACAGTTAGATCAATAGTTTATAAAGTTTCATTTCCTTTTAATTTGTCCATTGTTGTTAAAATTAATTGATAATATTAACAATGCAAACAGTTTAAATGATGTACTCTGACATAAGTAACAAGTTTTAGTTTCAATAATGTAAACTTTTTAACTTAATTTTTAAATTTCCCACATAAAAAATTGTATTTTATTGTTTTTTCCACCACTAAAAACAATTTAAAAAAAAAAAAAATGTATATTAAGTTAAATCTATAATGTAATCAAAAAAACTTCAAACAAAAGCGATAAAACCAAATATTCACGACTTTTAATATTTCTTGTATTTATTGAGCATCTAAATCAAAAACATATCTTATCACTTCAAGTTGTGGATTTATGTATTAAATTTATTTATGTTTTTCTCATATAATTTGGAACTGTCCGCCTAGGGACAATTTTCCAAAAAGCGTACACTTTTGAAAAAAATAAAATCTTATTTTCCATAGAAACTTGAAATTACATTTTTTTTTTTTTTTGCACTGCAGAATTGAAAAAAATATTGCTTTAATAAACAACTATATTCATAAAAAAAAATTCTACAAGTTCTCAATATCAAAAAAAGTTATTTAGGTTTTTGTTAAGTGTCCAGTTTGCGATACTTTTACTCTACTTAAAAAAGAATAAACTATATTATTATAAACTGTATACTATTATAAACTATTTATAGAAAATTTAAACTAATTTAGTTTAAATACCTTAAAGTTTTACATTAATAAAGTAACTAAAAGATAATTATAACCAAAAAATTGTTTTATACTAAAGACATAAAAATATATAAAAATAAAAAACAACAAAATAAGTTTTTTCAAAAGATATAGTTAATATTGCGAGATATTGTTATAAGTATTAAAATTTTAATTCATTTTATTATTTAAAACTAATTATAAACATTTTTAATACTGTTTTCCTTTAGTAAAAAGTTACAATAATCTTAGCGTAGTAAAGTATATTATTAAATCTTAACGTAATAAAGTATATAAACTTATTTTAAAGAGAAAATTTTATTTTCTCATTAAATATATAAATATACAAATATACAAAACTTGAACAAGTTTGGGTATCATTAAAAGTTAATAATAAACGCATGCTTATTGGGTGTATATATTGACCAAATGATGCTAATCTAATAATAATCTGAATCTTTCAAATTAGCTCATAGCTTAATTAGGAAGCCCTATAATTGCTGTTTGATCATTAGTGATTGTTTTGAAACTCAATGAAAATATTGACTCAAAATTTCTTGTACTTCCACTTATCAGTTTAAATCAATGTTTATTGTTTTACCTTGATTGAAATGCCCAAACATTCTATTCAATTTAACATTAATTAACTTAAAAATAGTTCTGCATAAAAGATATGGAAGCCTTAATTTTTATGTAATAATAACAATTTAAACTCTATTAAACGAAATAAGTGAAAAAATTGAAAATTTTTTTTATAAAAAGGTATATAAGGTTATATTCAAAAATACTGTGTAATTGTTTTTTATTTTTTTTATTTTTTGATTTTGATTTTGATTGATTACTTTATAATTTGTTCCATTAAAAGAAAATTCACTTTCATAAAGTCTTCAATTTATACAAAATGAATAAAAAGTTTTAATAATTAGTCTATTAGTTAAAATTAGTGATAGACTGCTCAGTATATTTTAAAAAGTGTTTTGTTATTATTAAATGGTCCTCTAAAAAGTTAATTTGAAAGTTTTTTTTTTTTAATTTGGAAGGTTACTTTGAAAAAAAAAATTTTTTTTTTAAAAAAGAAATAACATATATCACATGCTTATTTTTGCATGTTTAGTTTTGCAAGAAACATTTTAATTAAGTCCAATTGAGATTGCCAACTACAGAGAACTTTGTACAACAATTTTTGTTATTCTTTTTATTATTGTTATCAAGCTAGGATTATTAATATTAATTGAGCTGCTCCTGTATTAAAGGACTTCCATAAGGTTGAAATAGCAGTATCAAGTTAAGGGGTCTATTCTAAACTTATATTTGAAATTTCAACCATGGTTTTTACCAGTGATAACATTGGATTTAAAAATGCTAAATACTAAAAAAAAATTTTGAATTTAGGACTATTTTTTAGATCCCTCACAAAACATTCAAAGTTAGAATAGCAGATTGCTCAAATTTTGTACAACATTTTTATCCACTAATTGTTGTTATTTCTTCGTGGTGATCATACAATTTAATTATTATTCATCAAGAAATGGTTATACTCGCTCTGCAATATCGTTGATACAAGAAAGATTGCATAGATTTTTTTTTGCAAAAATGAAGTTTTCAAATTTATTACAATGCTCTGATGGAATGTTTAACCATTCTTGGGATTTTTTAAATTTTGCCAATGAAAGACAATAAGAAAGATTTTTCTTCATCACACCAAATAATAATCAGAGACTAGTTGGTAAGGAGTGAATACTTTAGGTCTTGGCAAGTTTTTAAGTTTCTGACCCATCAAAGTCTTTTCTAAGTATTTAACAAGGAAAAAACAACTACTCAGATAAGTATCCTGGGTGTCGTTTAATAAATTTGATAATTTCTTCTGCATTTTCAATGTCAATTGATTTAAAATTCTTTATCAAATAAAAAAAATACAGGTCATTAGCATTAATAGCAGCTTATAGAAAGTACTTTCCGTAAAAAAGACAAATGTACTCTGCCATTCTCCTCACTTTTTTTGCTTCTTTATCCTTAAGTTCAAAAATAAGAAAAACATTAGTATAACAAATTTTTTTTTAATTTTAGTATAAAAAATTGATCAAGGGCGAATTTGATCATTCAATCATTGTCCTTGTTGACTTCATTGTCATCAGTAATGGTTGAGTAAAATTTAAGGCTGTACTTTTTTTAAAAAACTATTTTTTTTGCCTCAAGAGAATTAAGAACTTAAGACTCTTCTTTAAATGTCTTCCTTAAATATAATTTCACAGTATTAAATGCAAAGGTACAAAAGTATCAAGATTAGAATGATTGAAAAATATTAGAATATAGTAACTGAACTGATTTATGTTATGCAACATCTGTGGTGTTTTAAAACGAATCTATTGTTGGATAAGTCCAACTAGTTGCAAATAAAGTTTTGTAGAGTTATTCTTTAATGATTAAAAATTAAATTTTGTCAACTGCACTAAGAATCAATAACAGTAAGTTAATTAAAAACATTGGGCAACACTTATGCAATCTGTTACTTGAATTTCCGATGTTTTGTGGGATCTGAAAATTATCCTAAATTCAAGATTTTTGTTAAATGTTATCAATAGTAATATATACTGGCGTTTTCAGATTAAATGTTATCACTGGTAAAGACCCCAGCTAAAATTTCACCTTTGTGTCATGTGGTTCAATTACAACACCAATGCATATATTGACTTTTTATGAATTAAATTTGAAACTTTTTATATAACATAAATTTTAATATAATACTATATTTTTTTAAGGATGTAGAAGAAAATGACATTAAAGTTCAAGTTTGTGTACATGCGTTTGACTTGTTGTACCTAAATGGCGAGGTTGAAAATTTTAGTTATTTATTATGACTTGTTTTTAAGTTATTTTAAGAATGTTTTTTAAAAGAAGTTTTTGCATTTGATTTGATTTTAGTCTTTAGTGGGTAAACCATTTAGTAAAAGAAGGGAATTGCTGATGTCTGCATTTAATCAAGTTGAAGGGGTATTTTTATATATTTGTCGTAATGTATTTATCAACAAATAGATTAAATAGATTTTGATTTGCTTATCTTTTTTATGATTTAAAATTTCCTTTTTGGGTTTATGGTTTCCATGGGAATAAGTGTTTAGATTTTTTTTTTTCTACAGGAATTTGTTTTTGCTACTGCAAAGATTCTAAGTGACACAGATGAAATTTCAGAATTTCTTGATGAATCTATACAAGGTTTGAAAGTATACTTATTTTTACTCATAGATTTTTTTAAATTATTATTTTAGATTAGTGGCTGTATCTTCAGTAACTGAGTGTTTCATCTATTAGAATGGTGTATGTATATCAGGGTGTTAGCCATGAATATTTTTTTACTGTGTTTTTGCGATATTAAGAAAAATTTTCTTATTGTTTTATGAAATTTCGGGAATTTTTATTGAAATTGTCTTTTTAATTAATAAAAAAAAGTCATTGAATTTTGAGGGAGTAATGACAAAAGTAGTTTACTTGTACACTTAAAAAATTATGCTACACCTTCGGAACGATGGGTTAATGAGAAGCTGTTCATTTTTTAAAAAGAAAATGACTTGAAGCTTAAATCTAAAACAAATTTTTTAAGAACTTATTAAAGTTATTTGTTCAAGAGCGATAGAATATTCTGACCAAGTTCGAGAGCAATCAAATATTAAATAAAATGATTAAGCCTCCCCAATCAAAAGATTTCTCTCCTATTGGATTTTTAAAGGTGGCACAAAACTTATTAGTTAGTGGCATAAAATTGACTTTAACAAATTAGATAAGTTGTTAAGTAGAATGCCAAGAATATGTTTGGCTATTATTGTTGCTAAGAGTGATTAAAAGGCAAGTAAATTATAAATTAATCTAATCGGACTTTTATTAGTTTTTTTGTAAACCTAATAAAAAGGAATTTTTATGTTAACTTTTTAGGTAATTGTGAAGGACTGATGTTGAAAACTTTAGATGTTGACGCTACTTATGAAATTGCAAAGCGATCCCATAATTGGTTAAAGGTAAGAATAATTAGGATGGTTGAATTGTTTGATAATATAGGTGAATATTTTTTTAAACGGAAAAAATATTCACTCAATTCAAAAATTATAATATGATGTCAATATATTGACATATCATATTATAATTTTGGCTACTGAATTTGAAAATTACTAGTTAAACAAATTGTATTTGCTGCAACAAGGAAACAATTTTATTATACATTTCAAAATTTTTATTTTCAAATGCTTATTCTTATCATCTTGAATTATGAATGATCAGTTTAAGGCCAATTCAAATTTGCTTGTTACATTTGTAAATTAATAAAAAAACAATTTTCTGGAACTTGATGATCTATTACATGACTCTGTCTTTGCTATATCAATGCAGACATCACAAAATATAGAAACAACTCACAATGCAGAGTATCATGACATACCTAAAGGAAAAAAATCCATTGCATTTTAGTTACAATCATTCAAGTTGTAGTAATATAAAATGCATAGTAATAATAAATAAAAATAAATATGCAAGTGTAAAAAATGTTGTTAGTTTATTATATATAAAATATATTTAGATATCTAAGTTTATTTTGTTAAAGTTTTTTATTTCAATTATGTTAGCAGGTATAAGAAATATTTCTAGGTTATTATATATAAAATATATGTTGATATATAAATTTAATTTGTACACAGGTGTAAGAAATGTTGTTAGGTTAATATGTATACAAAAAAATTCAAATTCATTCCAGTAGCTCTACTCAGTTTATTTAAAGACATTCAGTCTAAAGGGTTTTCTTTTTTTAAAAAGTGAAATACAGCTGTTACAAATAGGATATATGTAAAAACTTAAAAAAGTTGGAGTATTTTTCTAGGTTAGGGAGATAATAATGTTTTAGATGAAGTGGTATCTATATGTTGTGTTACATAGAGTTTGTTAATTTTGAAAATAATAAAAACTGTAAAAAAAAACTTTTATTTACTGGCATAAAAAATTGTTGTTTTTTTTGTTTGTAAAAATTTACAAACAAAAAAAACAACAATTTTTTATGCCAGTAAATAAAAGTTTTTTTTTACAGTTTTTATTATTTTCAAAATTAACAAACTCTATGTAACAGAACACTATTTAACAGAGCATAATGTTATGCAGGTGTAAAAAATATAATCATAATAATACAAATTATTTTTAAAAAAGGCATCAGTATTCACACTTCGTATTTTAATTTCATGGAATTTCAGTTAAAACTTTTTGTATCTTATGTTTGCTTCACACCACACACCACACACCTTTTCTGAGAAATATAAATATGGTTTGATTTGTATATATTAAAAAATAAATGATTTGTGTATAGAATTAACTTGCTTCTCTCCCATATATATTAAATGAAAATCATTACACATGAAACTGAATTATTTGAAACATAAGCTGAATAGTTATGTCATATAAAATTTTGTGACGTTAAGTCATATAATTGCTGATGAAGAACAAAGACTTATGAAGGAATACATGAATTAAAATATTACAGCAGGGACATTTAAAACCACTTTTAGGGTAATATTATAGCAGGGACATTTAGAAACCACTTTTGGGGTAAATTTATGGCAAGAAAATTTGAAAACCATCATAGGTTTTATAACCATTTTAATAATATGACAAAGACTGTTAAAGTGTTCAATTTCTTTAAAAAAAAAAGTTATTGAAAGAGTGCAACGTAGAAAGCAATGAGAAGAATACAACAAAAGAGTAACGAGAAGTAACGTAGAAACGAGTTCCTACGAGTTCCAACGAGTTCCATGATACTAAAAGCTACTTTTAAAGGAAAGAGCAAATGAGAAGAGAAAAAAGTGATTTAATTATCTTTTTTAAATGCATTAATAATCTTTACCAATTTAATATATCTTCCTTAAAAATCTTTTATCTACCAACGTGACCAGCTGGAAGTGTCCGTGATTATATCCATAATCAAAGATACATTTCTGAGAACAGTAGACACTCAATTAAAAGAAATTGAATGTCTGCTGTTTTACTAATCATTCCAATTTGGAACACTTTTCCGTTTGATGTCAAACGAATTAAATCAGTTTTGAACTTTGAAAAAAATTGATAAACTTTGTTACGTAACATAAAATTTTAAACTGTAGTTTTCAAACTTGCTGAAAAATTGGTTTACTACTCGGTAAGCATATGCTCACCATAGCAAATATATATAAATAGACATATATATTTGCAACGCGATTAAACGCCAGTTCTCACGCGGAAATTGGCCGTGATTAAAAATCCGGTCCACAAATAAAAAAAGTTGAAAAACATACAACTCAAATATTCAAAAGCCTTATATTTCTACTCAATGCAACATAAAAACAGTGAATTATCTCGATATTACATTAAATCTTAGTGACTGCAGCTTCAAACCTTACCATAAAACTGAAAGTTTGTTAAACTATATCCATGCCAGCTCTAATCACCCACCAAGTATTTTAAAACAGCTGCCGAATATATGGAAATTATCTCAAAGTTTGAGCTATTTAAAATGTGTAACCCCCTGAAATACAAATTCTATAAGTTCATAATTTTTTATGAATTTGTATGAAATTTAAAATATATTGATGAATATAAATTTTGTTGAAACTAGAGAAATTATTTTATTAACTTGCTTCTCTTACATTTTGGGGCAGTTGTGGCCTAAATTTTAGGGCTTTTTTGTTCGCAAAATATTTATGAAAATTAATGCATAAAAGTATTTTCTGTTCATAAAAAGAATACCATTCAAAAAAGCTCGAAACGAATTTTGGAAGGTATAATTATTTTTATTCAACAACGCACGCTTAAAAAAACTCAAAAAACGTGCTACGCATTTTTATTAAATGTCTTTTTAAATACGTGAGGTATTTAAAAGGACCAAGTTTTTAAGCTCAAATAGATCTTAAAATTTTAAAATCCAATAACAACTTCATTATAAAAAATCTTGTTATAAATATAAAAATAAAAATATAGTTTGAACCTTTTGTATCAAAATATCCCCAATAAAATGTTTTTTTTTTATTGTTTTTTATTTAAATACGATTGGTTGCTGTAGAAAGAGAAGAAAAAAAATCCTTTCTAATTCATTCTTGCATCCACCTCTAAGAATAAGGATTACGATTTTGATGGGTTGTTTGTTGATTTATAATTTTTGATGCAAATTGCACTAACTATATAAGTCTAGTTTAAACAGAGATAAGTGCCGAAGATAAAGCGCATGGAATTTGCATTTTGTTCAACTTGTTAAGCTCTTAAATTTAAAACAGCAAAAGAATGCTTGTTTACGATTAATAACAAGCTGTTTCAATCGACAATCGTAAAAAGTAGAACAGGAAGTCCGCAATTTTTATGTTTGTATTGTGTAAACTTTTTGAAGTCGGCTTTTTTAAGTTAAAGAGATCGTAAGAAGCCCTTTTTTTTACTTATGTTTGTATGTGTGTGTGTATATATATATATATACATATATATATATATATATATATATATATATATATATATATATATATATATATATATATATATATATATATATATATATATATATATATATATATATATACAAACTCTTATGTAAAACAATTTAAAAAAATTTAAAAAACTAGTTTTTAAAATCCAATTTTTAAAAATTATTGAAACGTCACGCTTTAGATTATTGAAACGAAAATATTTTTAGTAAATACAACTAACTATGTTAAACGTTTGTCTAAAAACTCTTAATAATTTGTGTTATCTTTAAGTTATTTACATGTTAATTTAATAACCTATTATTATACTATCAAAAACTCTCCGCATTTCGTTTCCAGTGTTTTGGAGTAATAGTCTGAGTTTAAATTGCTGGTTCGCAATTAAAAGAGGTTTCTGCTTGCAGGTTGTTAAGATTGAATATAACTCAGCTATTTGCTATGTTTACCAAATATTTTGCTAAATGGAATGCATTTTGTTGTTTCTTTTTCTTTTTTTAGCGAAATTTGTAATTCTTTGGTTGCGACAGTTTTTTCTTTCTCTTTTTCTTTTGCGACGTTTATGTGATTTATAATTATTTCTTCGCAGCATTTATTGGCGTTTCTTTCCGCGTATGATAATGGTGTGCTGCCTCCTTTAGTTTTAAGGTTATAATTTGCACCAGCATTTAATAATATTTTTAATGCTCCGGTATTGTTTGTTTCAACTGCAAAATGCAGAGCTGTTCTTCCGGTTATATCTTGTAAATTTAGATCTGCTCCATTTGCGGTTAGTAAAGTTACACATTCGTTATGACCCTGTTGAACGGCACGCATTAAAGGAGTAACATTTTGTGAATTGGCTTGATCTAAGTTGACTTTGTGTTGTAATAAATGTTGTATGCATTCGCTATGACCATTTCCTGCTGCAAAAAGAAGCGCATTTTGTTTACCGCGGTATTGTATATTTGGGTCAGCATTGTTTTTAAGTAGAAACTCGACTACATTTGAGTGTCCGTCTTTTGAAGCTAAGATTAATGGAGTAGCGCCGAACTTTGTTTTTGCGTTTACACTTTCAGGATCGTATTTAATAAGAATTTCTAAACATTCTAAATGACCTTGTCCAGCAGCAAAATGGGATGCGGTACAACCTGTGGCGTTCCTAAGGTTCGTATTTGCCCCGTGCTCTAATAAAATGATTAAGCATTCCTTTTGACCATGCCATGCTGCTTGCATTACAGGAGTGAAACCGTTTTCATCCGGTAGGTTCAATTGGTAATTATTGCTTGTTTCGAGCAATACTTGCACAATCATGTCCATGCCGTCACGAACGGCATCAAAAAAAGCAACCCCCTCATAGTTTTCACTTAACTGTTCATCATCAACATTACGTGTTTTTGTAATGAGATTGTAATCGTCGATATCAGATGCTTCATCTTTCTTTATATTTTTGCGGGGTTTTTTAAACGATATTTTCTTTTTAATTCGTGGTAATATTTTCATAGATTTTTCTTCGATTAAATCTTCAAATACATCATCTGGCGGTTTAACCACTGAGACACTTCTTTCTATTAGAATTTCGTTTCCGTCTTGCAAACGCTCATCAATGCAGTCTGCTAAGCTTTTTCGATTGTTTTTTGTTGACTTTAATTCTGCTGGTTGTTCAATTAACTCTTCTTCCGTTTCGTTGCCAGTTGGATTTGCTTCTTTATGCATGCTTTTATGTGATCCTAACAAGTGTATACTTTTTCGTTGTGCGGTTTCAAGTACTTCTTCGTCTACCTTCAGTACGCAATCAGCGTCAATTCCGTCATTTAAAAGCTTTTCAACTGCTGCACGATCTCCTTTTGCTATCGCACGGTGTAGAGATTCAGAGTGAGGCTTGTATTCTTTTTCATTCTATAATTAAATAATGCATAATTTATACTTATCTATAAATATATGCGCGCGCGTGAGTATGTATGTTGTGACTATAAAACACGTTTTAAACCTTTTTCCAACAATATTTAGTTACGTAAATCACATAAGTCAATAAAAGTAAATTTATACGACAAAACGCAATAAGAAAACAATTTGCTGCTATTCATTGTTAAAGTGCTTTTATATATTTTGGCTTCCTGTAAATTTTAACATATTTGGCTTAAGTTAATATTTGCAATCTTTTGGTTTAATTTATGGTGTTTCTGTATCCTTTAATAATTGTAGCTAAAAAATGGTTCCCAATATTTTCGTTATAAAGTTTAAATTTCTAGAAGTATGTCTAGCTCTAAGCTCATACTTCACAATGACGAGAAGCAATTTAGTTTATTATAAGTATAAATGAACTCATGCGACATTTTGTATAAGATTATATATTATCGACATTAAAGATTTTATGTCTAACGGGTTAATAATCCATAGTAACTTTGGTGTATGTAACATAGATGTATGTAGATGTAAGATAGTAACATAGATGTATTGTATGTAGATGATTTTATTGATGTAGATGTATGTATTGATTTTATTGATGTAGATTTGATGTATTGCTTTAATTTAAGCAGGAAAGTTTACACAAATTTTACTAAAATTTATTTTAGTAAGTTTTACTAAAATGACATCTATCTTTACTACCTGTTTTCTACCGTTAATGTTGATTCTTTTCACCTCTATAAATAAATTTGTGACATACAACTCTAAAGATCTTACCATTTGTGTGTCTTCTCTTCTTGTTCTTTTTTTTTTTCCGGTTTGTTAAAAAGGATTCAAGTTCGCTTTGATGCGGACTGTTCAGAAAGTGTTTGGATAATATTTATTTATTAGAAAATTTTTTATTTGATTCTGCTATTGTCGTTTTAAATGTTATTTTTAATTGGTCGATAGCATATGACGTTTTATTTATAAACACAACAACGCTTTCATGTTTTTTGCTCACAGCATGTTACAAGAAAGAAAAACACGATTTAAATAATCTTCTTTATAAATATACTTATAAATATGAAATGTATGCAGATTATTTATAAATATACTTGTAAATATGATATGGATGTAAAATTTTTATAAATAAACTTATAATTTTGAAATCTACGTGCCGATTAATTATAAATATATGTTTACACACACAAGCACGCACGCACGCACACAGGTGTGAGCTTTTGAAAAAGTTATGTGGGTAATATTAGTGCCATGAATTCTGAAATAAAATATTAAATAAATAAAGAATGTAGATACTAATACATAAAAATAAAATAGAATAAATTTAAATACGTCTTAATTTTTTTTTTTTAAACGGCTAAAATAGTGCGCGTTAAAGGTAATTCTATCATTGTAGTCTTATCTCCGTTATAAAATATAAGTTTATTATTTTAGCTTAAGAAAGATTATTTAGAGGGGGTTGGAGACACGCTTGATTTAGTTGTTATTGGTGGATATCATGGGACTGGTAAAAGAACAGGAAAGTATGGGGGATACCTGCTGGCATGTTATGATGAAGATAACGAGGAATACCAAACAATATGCAAGGTAATATGTCGAGTAATTTATATATATATATATATATATATATGTATATATATATATATATATTGATTTTATTATTATAAGGCTGGTACTGGCTTCACGGACGAGCAATTAGCTAAGCACTACGAGTTCTTCAAAAATCATGTCATTGAAAAACCGCGCTCGTATTACCGATTTGATGACGGCATGAAACCAGACCATTGGTTTGAACCAGTACAAGTAAACTTTTGTAATTAGTAACCATTACCATTATGTCATGAATTTTTAGTCATTACTCTAGATCCTGGTAAAAATTTATTTTTTGTCTTAAAAAAATTGGATACTTTTTGTGTAGGTTTGGGAAATACGTGCCGCTGATTTATCTATCTCTCCAATTTACAGAGCAGCTATTGGAATCGTGCGTTTTTTAATTACGTTAATTTTTTTTTAATTAATCACTACAAGCACAAAAATGTATATATAGTAAATATATTTAAATATATTATTATTGTTCCTATGATTATTATTATTATTATCATTATTATAGTTTTTATCATTATTTTTAGTTACATTAACATTTTTTTTTATTTATCTACAAAAAAAAATTAATTTAGGTTGATCCTGATAAAGGAATTTCGCTTCGTTTTCCGCGTTTTTTACGTGTGCGAGATGACAAAAAGCCTGAAGAAGCTACATTGTCACAACAAGTAATTCCCTTTTATTTTACAAAATTTTATTCGCTTTATTTATTTCATACTAGTTATGTTGTTTTGTCGTTTTGCAAGTCATCTTAATTGAAGTGCTTTTGTGTTTAGGTAGCTGAATTTTATAATAATCAAGACCAGATTAAAAATGCCAGCGATTTTAAATCTAAATCCAAGATCGAAGAAGATTTCTACTGATTCGATATTATTAGAGAATCAATAACTTAGATCAGGGGTAAAAATGTCCTGGAATTAAGAGATCACATTTAGGATTAAAATGTTTTTGATGTAATTTTAATGGTGTCTCTACAAATCATTTCAGTTTTAGGTTGTTCGAATAACAAGAATAAACCTAGTTCAAACCGATATACATTCGCTGTTACGCTTTCCACGTTTGAGTTCAATTTTTTATAAACAATATTTATATGAGTTTGGTAAATGAAAACCTTAAGCTTTAGATAATTTGTTTGTTTCTTTTAATAGCACATTCTCAGTTATTATTATCAGTAATTATGTATATATCTATATATACATATATATATATATATATATATATATATATATATATATATATATATATATATATATATATATATATATATATATATATAAACACACACACATACATATATCCTCTAATATATAATGACTATTCTAATATATAATAGTATTTATTCAATATATTAATGCTATAATACGTAAAAATTAATATATAGTATTATCAAATAATTATAGGTTCGTCTGTGTGTGTTGGAGTGCTGGGTTTTAGATTTTTATTTAAAAGCGTTTATTAAGAAAAGAAAAAGAAATAAAATGTTTCCCTGACAACAAAACATTTTCTTTAAAATCTTGAACGTCTTTACAATACAAACAAACAAGTAAAAGATTATCAGCTTTATGATATTGGCAAGATTTTCTGGCTTAGGAGTGTCAGCTTTAAGATTATTGGTTTTATGATTTCACGGCTGCTTGTTTTGGCCAGAAAATTGGTAAGGAAGAAGACGTAAACTTCCTAGTCAAATTAATGCCTGACGTTTTGATTTATCTTGGAAATATAGGTTGAACATGGCTGTTCTCTGTCCCATAAAAAGAAATATGCACAGCTGATTCAAAGCACCATATGATTCTATAAGAATAATTATTCTTTTCAATTACTTAATTAATTGTAATATTAGTTAATTAATTGTAATAATACACGCTAAAATATTTTGTTGAAAATCCGTTTGAAAAAACCTTTCAAATTTTGGTATTACTTTATTGGTATTTATTATTACCAAAAATAAAACGTTCATAACTCAATATTAACATCGTTGAGTCAAGATGTGAACGTTTTTGTCGTGAAATAGTTTTTAAGTTTTGTCTCAAAATTAATTATGTGATTGTTTCATAAATTCATATCATATTCTTTATTAATATAAAATTTGGAAATGCATGTTATAAATCTTTTTCCTTTTAGAGGATAAAAGTTGCAATATTAACAGAGTTAAGATTTTAAATTAAAATTAATGCATTGTAAAACATTTAAAAAAAAAAAAAAAAATGAATTTCTATAAGAATTAATATGATAGTTAAACGCCAAAAATCTCTGAAAAAAGTTAAAATACTAACTGTAAAGTTCAAAATCTAGGTTTAAAAAATATTGAATGCAAAACCTTTAATTTATAAAAGGAAATGGTTAAATATAGATAAGCTTCTAATGGCAATTTATCTGAGAGTGCAACAATTAAACTTTCTAATGGCAATTTATCTGAGAGTGCAACAATTAAAGTTTTGAAGCCAAATAGTCTTTTAATATTATATTTTATAGTATAAGTAATAAATAGTCAATTAACATGAACAATAAGAAAGTTTAATAATAAAATAACAAAGTTTAGATTATATACCGGTTATAAATAATAAAAATTAAGTCTCCATAAGTTACTATGTCATTGGCAGGTGTTGTAGCTAACTACAATATCTGCCAATTTAGTAATTGGCAGATGTTGTAGTTATTGACAATACCTACCAATCACTAAAAAACTAACGTATAATTAGAACTAGTTGTATACACAATATGTTAACTAAGCTATCAAATAGCTTTTTTAAGCTTTTTTACATCTTTCATAGCTAGCATGGTTCGCATGCAATTGAAGGGTTTCTTGTCCTACTTAGATCCTTTTATTCACCACTATTTTTATGACTGATGTGAAAACAATAATTAAAATAGTTCATTGTAGTAGCAAATTGTAGTACCCTTTATTCCGCTTACTTTTTCATTTAAATTATTTTGAATTAAATAAATAATTTATATTAACTAATGCTTAATTTTTCTTTTTCATTTGTATTTATTATTAGTCCTAATATAATTGGCGCCACTTCTTTAATCGAACTTTTGTATTGACATTTCCGACGCCATTTTTTGACATCATTTCTTACTGTCACTGTCCGATGATCAATTAATATTTTCGTATAACGTGATTTTTAGGGTGCTTGGTTAGTCACAAATACGGGGACGTTAAACTAGCAGATTATTTAATAAAAAAGATAAGATAATTAATAAATAAATAAAATAATATATATATGTAAACATTTATAATAAAAAAAACAAAAAAAAAAAATAGCTCAACCTGTGAGTCAAAAAACTTTACCACTAAACTTTTTACCTTAAAAATGGACATTACATCACAAATAAACTTTAAAAATGTGTTATGAAAAACCATTGCTCACAAACAAAAATGCCGGAAGTTAATTTAACTAACCATAAAACTTGATAGCAAATGTTATACAGTTATGCAGATTTTTTAACATTCATTTAGCAGCCGTGGCGCAGTGGTAGCGCACTTGCCTCAGATACGTTAGATCCGTGGTTCAAACCCCACCTCTGGGCGAGTTTTGCGACATCGGTTGGGAAGGAGGCGTGAACTTCCTATTATATGCTCTTCCGCGGTGCTCTGCGATAAGACCGTAAGGACTTCTTGGGGTCAACTTAAAAAAAAAAAAAAAAGATTTACTGTATGCATAAAATTTCATTGCAAACATCTTTACAAATTTTTAAGAAACGCTCCGCCTTTTCTAATAAACTAACAGTGGTAGGTAGAAGTAAAATAAATAAATAAACGATAGCGCATTTAAATACTGGTTTTAGTGAATTACAAGATTTTTTAAACACCGGCTAAGGAATGATAATTATCATTATATCGTCAAACACCCATTATAATGGGTGTTTGACGGTATAATGACTTAAATTATGGTGTGGAAATGTTAAACGATAAAACCATTATCCCCCTTAAAACAACTTTTGAAGTTTCTTTAAAAGGGTATTACAATTTACAGTGCGTATAACGTTTGCGTATTTCCCGCTAGGTTCAAATTAGCTGTTTCTCAAGTATCTTTAAAACAGTGGACGTGTTTTTCTTGTATTGTTAAAAAACTTATACTGCTGATTTAATTTCTTTTAATGTTTGTTTATAATATACATTTTTTTCATTTTCAAAAAAATTGAAAAATTCTTATTATTTTCCTATGTTTTTTTAGTATGTTCCATTTATCTCAATTACGCATAATTGAGCTCAATATCGCACCAGATAATATCTTTGCGAAATTCTTATATTGTTTTTTACGTACGCACACACGCTAATAAATTTGTTAGTGCACAGTAGGGATTATGACTAAAATATTTGTTGCAAAATTTTCTTTAGTAGCAAATGACGAACTTTTGTAACCTAATTATTCAAAAATTACCTGCACCAAAACACTCAATTGGATGTCTTGGCTTGGGTAAATTGAGCTTGGTAAATGAAGACAACGATGTTTTCATTTACCAAAAATATATATTTTTTAAAGTATATTATGTTGATAAACCTCGAAAGAAGTGAAATCTTATAAAGATTCAAAAATAAAGATCTCTTTCAAATGTAACCTACTTAAAAAAGGTATTGTTTAAAAAAACGTTTTTAAAAATGCTTTTTTTTCAGTTTTTGTTTAAAATTGATTTTTTTTTTTTTTTTTTATAGAATAAATTTCAAAAAACTGAATGTTATTGTAAGTTTTTTTTTTTTTTTACAACTTTAGATAAAATTTCGTTTCTTCTGAGATACAACTTGATATACTTTTGGAGAGAAATATTTTTGGTAATATACAACACTCACCCACCCACAACACCCACCGTAGTCGGGTATTATGGTTCATGAACTCTTTTTTGAAATTGAAAAAAAGATGAAGTTTGTAAAATAAAAAAACGGGTCATATAAAATAAATTTACTGTGGAATTAGGTTTGACAGTTGGTTTTCCAAGACAATTTGGTTTTGGTTTTTTGAATGATGGCAACACTGCCAGACGAGGTTTTTAAAAATCTGATTATATTCATCTATTTATAAGCATAGATGAAGAATTAATAGAACGCAAATATTTTAAGCATAATATTTCGCAGCAGCGAAATTTAGACTAGTAGCACTTTAAAGATCTTTAAAAAAAAAATCCTGAAAAAAATTAAAAAATAAAATCTTTTTTTATTGAAAATATGTTCATAATTTAGTAAAGAATAATTCTAAATAATATAACCACCATAAGCTGTGATTAAATCCTCAATTCGAATGCGAACAGGTTTTACGGATATAATCAATCAAATGTTGGACCAGACCCAATGATGAAAGTTTTTAGGACTTTAACATTTAAATGTTGTTGCTTTCAAGACTTAGGCTGAACATATTTACAAATAGAAAAATCAAAAGCCAAAAAGCAATAAGGTTTTATTTCTTTGGCCCAGTAACTCTCTGAGACCTGTGTCTAGATGAGCTTCGCTATGTCTAGATGAGCTTCGTGACTGGGTGTACCATCCTGCATAAAAACAAATAACTTCTCTTGAAGTTGCCACGTATCTAGGAAAGTGCATAGGTATCTAAGGAAGCACATAGGGCTCAACTTAGTCTAAATAATCATTTGCACCCTGAAATTAGTAAAAAAAAAAAAAAAGAGGCATTTTGAGACCTTTGGAAACTACCGGCCAAACTTCACAATCTGACTAATTTGTTTAGTACGACTTACTGTTTTGATGTGGTCAGAGACATATTTAATACGTTTAGTTGAAAGATTCTTTAACTGACTTTCATACAGGAGCCACTAAATTTATTTGTAAATACATCACTGCATGCATTTGAGTGAGTTAAACAGCAGAGAAGCATTTCTAAAACTCTCCGGCGTGTGAAAAAGTCATCTCAACGAGACGGACAAGTATAAGTCTTCTGTAGGCTGTTTCCACAAATTTTCCTTAATAAACACATTTATTATAACTTTAAGATTTTATAACTTTAAGGTAAACAAATTTTTTTTAATTTAGTAAATCTACTGTAAAATATTTTTTATTTAAAAACAGAATGATTGGATGTTTTTTATTAAAAATTCAGAGAAACATCCTACTTCTTTCTAGCCTTCAGAGCTTCAGTTAGCAGAAATTATTTGGTTCTGCCACGAATTTAACCCTTAT